CATTTACATGTAAATGTTGCTACATGTACAGTGTGCAAGTGTAATATTTATTGGCTCAATTGTATGTACATGTATGACTATAATATACATGTGGAGGTTTACCAATTCACTGGTATATACTGTACATGTATTCTCTTAACTCTTATTGACTCACAGATTGATAAAGGAGTGTACATATCAAGGAAGCTATTGTTTGCTGGTATGCTGTTGAGAGTCAGTGGATTGTGGACTAAAGGGGAAACTGTCAAGAGTGGAGTGCAGGGTGACTGGCTCTACCAGGGTAAGAGGTTCATTAATAATTATGATTATTTTACTGTGTATGTACATATGTACATTAAGGCCTCCATACACTAGGCAACATGTTGCTAGCAACTTCTGTGGTTACTTTGATCTTGTAATCATCTTGCTCCAAAAATAGAACAGAATTCTATTCTTAGACACAAGATCAAAGTGACCACAGAAGTTGCTAGCAACATGTTGCCTAGTGTATGGAGGGCTTTACACACTGTTACTTTTGTAGACCTGTTTGATGCATGACATTATAATTCATTGACATTATTATTTTGCATGTACATGTACATGTACAATTTTACATGTCTGTAGATTGTGTTTAGATCAGCCTCATTGCAATTCTTCCTATTCATGCAAGTCAGTTCAGAGATATGGGAGTTTGATCCCAATGGTCAGTTACTGTATACTCATTGTGCTAGTACATATTACTAGTGTTTAGGTGATACTTACTTTGATGAAGCAGTTGATGGTTTTTGAAGGATCTCTTCTCCGTTTGTAAGGTACAGTACATGCAGTGTGTGTATTGATGGACACATTCATTGCACATGAACATTCTCCTATTATGTTATACATGTTCTTATCACTGTATTTCATGAGTTTTGTTTTAAGCATAAAAACATCATTCACATTCTTTCTACAAATAAATGTATAATTCTTTCTCTTTGTCTTTGTCTCTCTCCCTCTCTCTCCCCCCTCTCCCTCTTTTAGGTGTGATTCCATTGATAAACTCCATAAAAGGTGTGAGACCATTAATTGAGAGATACAGGACTCACAACAGTTCAAGGACTTCTACCAGTTTATGTTTAATGTTGCCAAAAACCTGGGGCAGAAAGGACTAGGCTAGTGACATAATATTATACATGTGCATGTACATGTAAGATCATGTTTACTAAACTTGCCACACAATGATTTCAATGTACACTTGTTTATGGAGGAATTTTTCAAGTGATCCTACTAAAATTTGAGAATACATGTACATGTATAATTTAATGTATATTGTATGAATTGATTAAAATCTTTTGTGCTTTTTATTTCTCTACAGATCTTGAAATGGGCATTGCCTACTGGAATCTTATTTTTACTGGTCGCTTCAAATTTTTGGACTTGTGGTGTGAATTTTTAAAAGTAAGCAATGCTTGTATTGACATATGAAGGTCTCATTTCACCTCTCCCTCCCTCCCCCTTTCTCTCTTTCTCTTTTTCTCCCTCTCTCAGTCTCGTTATAAAGAGCAATACCCAAAGACACTTGGAACCTTTTGCTAGAGTTTTCAAACAGGATTGATGACACCATGAGCAATTATGATGAAGATGGTAGGTCTATACTGTATAAATTGTAATGTCCTCCTCTTTAAATACATGTAATTAGTATTTTGTACAGCACTTTAATGTATGGCAGCTTTATTTCTTTGTAAATTTTTTGATGATTTTATGCATATACATGTACAGCACTTTACTATGAACATGTACATGTACATGTACATACATTAATGATTTTGTGGTAGGTTTATTAACTACATGTACATGTACAATGTATACATATTTCTTGTCATTTCTCTATCTTGTTTTATTCTTTCTGTAGGTGCTTGGCCTGTCCTTACTGACAAATTTGTTGAATACGCTAGACCTTTAATAGCCAATACTACAACACCAGTTTCTAATACAAATTCCTCAGTTCTTCTTTGTGTCTGATCCAGCACTACTGGAGATACTGGGACAAGCTTCAGACTCACACACTATACAGGCATACACTATACATTGCTCAAGGCAAAAAATCAGTTCATTCTGTGATAAGGAATGCTGCAGTGACCATTAAAGATCCTAACTTTGACCTCATTGATTTCTTAAACACTTACCCTGCTCAAGTGAGTTTACTGTGAAATGTAAATACCAATTTGTTGTGTTCTGGTGAAAATAGAATGGCATTAGAGGTGGTTTGAATTTTGAGCATGAAAATAATAATTAACACACCACAAATATTACCACATATCAGACATGGGGTCAAGCACTATGAAATGTACTTAAAGACAAACACATGCACTTAAATGTATTAGAAGTACCAGCACAAGCACAATCCCTAGCTTCACCATAAGTGCTTGAGTACAAGAACAAGCATTCTCCGGAGTGCTTAAGTACATTATTAAGTACTAGGTATTAACTAAGTGTAACACTTATAGTGAAATTACAATTATAGTTGTTCATTGTACATGTACATGCACTTAGTCATTTAATTTACTATTACATCTAGTATACACTAACTCTGTGAATTGTAAGAATGAATGAAAACAGTAGGAGCTTTGGAGTGATTGGTGATGATACCACTAATGGTAATGTCATTACTGTTCTTCAAGCTAGCACACAATCACACATTGTGCTACTAAACTTGTATACTGCTGTTGCTACAAATTTCTGGACTGTGTAACCACTACATGTACATTATCCACGTGCAATTTTTGCTGTGCTTAAAAGCACTTTTGTCAAATTGTAAAAGTAATTAAGTACAAGTACAAAGCACATAGATTATATTGAAAAGGTACTTGCAAGCAGCACTAAGTACTTGAGCTTAAGTACAAGCACCAAGTGCTTGACCCCATGTCTGCCATGTATACATTACTTGTATAATGTATAATGTATTAGTGGAATTCTGTACTAGTAATGTTTCTTTTCTATTTTTCTGTGGCTATAGATTGGTCTCCTTGGTCTACAGATCATTTGGACAATGGACTCAACTAATGCACTGAAGAATGCTCGATCAGACAAGAAGATAATGGCTGCCACTGACCAAGCATTCCTTGACTTGCTCAATTCTCTCATTGAAATGACGACACAAGAACTGAACAAGATTGATAGAGTAAAGTACAAGACACTGATCACAATAGACCTTCATCAGAGGGACGTATTCAATGACCTGGTAAGACATTGTACACTCTTACTATTTTAAATTGCTCCAAAGTCATTCCAAATTTTTATTACATTTTCTGATACATATTGATGTCCTTATGCAGTGTAGAAAGATTGAGGTGATTCTGATTTCAATTTTTCAAGTTACGGCCATTTTAAAAAAATGCCAAAATTCTGAAAAATATGCAATGCTATAGCCCATTGTTTTTTTCCAAAAAATGGCTCTGAAACACTCAAAACTTTTATTTCATTTTCTGATGCATATTGATGTCCTTATGCTATATGTAGAAAGTTTGAGCTGATTCTATCTTCAATTTTTCAAGTTATGGCCATTTTAAGAAAACGCCAAAATTCAGAAAAAATACTCAAGGCTTTAGCCCATGGTTTTTTCCAAAAAATGGCTCCAAAATCACTCCAAATTTTTATTACTTTTTCTGATACATACTGATGCCTTTATGCAGTATAGAAAGTTTGAGCTGATTCTATTTTCAATTTTTCAAGTTATGGCCATTTTAAGAAAACGCCAAAATTCAGAAAAAATACTCAAGGCTTTAGCCCATGGTTTTTTCCAAAAAATGGCTCCAAAATCACTCCAAATTTTTATTACATTTTCTGATACATACTGATGCCTTTATGCAGTATAGAAAGTTTGAGCTGATTCCATCTTCAATTTTTCAAGTTACGGCCATTTTAAGAAACGCCAAAATTCTGAAAAATGCCCAAGGCTATAGCCCATGGTTTTTTCCAAAAAATGGCTCCAAAATCACCCCAAATTTTTATTACATTATCTGATACATATCGATGTTTTTATGCTGTGTGGAAAGTTTGAGGTGATTCTGACTTCAATTTTTCAAATTACGGCCATTTTAAGAAAATGCCAAAATTCTAAAATACCCAAGGCTATAGCCCATGGTAAAATAAAAATAGTCTCATTAATGATATTACCACAAAGAAAGCTCCATTTTATAATACTCTTAGCACTGGTATCCCTTTTAGTGAGCAAAGATAAGCACTTCATTTTTCAAATAATGATGATTTATTTTATCAAAATTAACTCACAACAAAAGAATTTGTTTGTCATATTATGCTGCCAACTAAAAACTATCAAATGCTCACTATTTTATGTTGAGATTGTTTTCTTGGTGAACATACCTGTACATGTATTTGCTTACCAAGTGTGGATACCTTATTTACACCCTGTGCATAAGATAGTTTTATTAATATTATTATTATTAATGCATTCAAGGAAGAGGCTCATCTTTCCTCGGTTCTTCTTTGTGTCTGATCCAGCACTACTGGAGATACTGGGACAAGCTTCAGACTCACACACTATACAGGTATACACTATACACTAGTACATGTACACTGTTAGTGATAGTAGGTTAGGTTAAGTTGACTATTATTTATATAACCACTAGTTAATTAACTATTATTATTATTATTAATTTCAGGTCGTTTAGTTGGTCTTCAAGTTTTTTAACTAAGAGAGTTAGGAATGACTACATGCATCTATCAGTAGTTGTAAGTGTACATGTACATGTATTTAATTGTATTCATCAATTTTTAATTGTAGGATGAATGCATTGAGTTTAACAGAATAACCCCAATTTTTATTACAATATTGATGTCCTTATGCTTTGTATGAATTAAGTTTGAGCAGATTCTAACTTCAATTTTTCAAGTAAAGCCCATTCTATCCTTTTATTAGAGGTACCTCCTATACTTTATTTAGGATTATATTTACTTAATGTACATGTATGTAGCCCCCAGTCTTATTATACAGTTTTTTGTTATTTCATCTTTTCTAGTTTAATTTGATTAGACTAACAATAATCCACTACCAAAGAGTACCCCTCCAGTATCAAGGACTGATCTATCTGTTCAAGAGGGTATCTCCTCTCACAACTTTAAGTACTTCATTAAATATTCCTAC